TCCCAGTGCTTTTCGACGCTAACCTCTTCCATAGTGTTGACTTGTGTCTCGGCTTTGTCCCTTATGCTTGCAGTGAAGATGTCGTTTGTATCCTGGTCCCTCAGTTTTTACGTGTTGAACTGGGCTTGTGGTCTATCTACAGCTTCTGTTTCTTTGAAAGCTTTTAATTTGATTTGGATTGTCCCTTGTACGAGATAGTAGTCTGAGCCAACGTCTGCTCCTCTTCTTACTTTTGTGTCCAGTAGGCTGCGCCTCCACTTCCTTGAGATTGAGATGAAGTCAATTTGGTTTTTGGTTCGCCCATCTGGTGACACGCATGTAGCCCTGTGGATATCCTTGTGTTTGTATACGCTGCCACCAATCACTAGTTCATTGAAGGCGCAGAAGTCGGCGAAGAGTTCTCCGTTTTCATTCATTTCTCCGAGATCTTCTCTCCCCATGATGAGTTTGCTTCCTGTGTTGTCTGGTCCCAGTTTGGCGTTCATGTCTCCCACTAGTATTTTAATGTCACCAGCTGGAGTATTGTCCATTGTAGCCTGTAGTTGTCTGTAGAATTTTTCTTTTTCTTTTCGAGGTTTGCGTTGTTTGTGGGTGCATATGACTGTATAACTGACACTTTCCTTCCTTTGGAGTTGAATCTGGCGGTTATTATCCTGGGCGAGATCGCCTCCCATTGCATCAGGGCCTTCGTTGTTGTTAGTGACACGCCCTCGGTGTGCGTGTGGTTGTCTTCTGGGTGATCGGAATAGATCACTGACTCTCCCGTTGAAAATTTGGTGAGTCCATTCCCGTTCCATCTACTTTCACATATCCCCAGTACTTGAATTCCGTATCTTTTCATTTCGTTTGCGATCTGGGCAGCTTTTCCAATCTCGTACATGGTGCGGACTTTCCATGTCTCCACACAGACTTTTTCTTTCGGCGTAAGGAGACTCATCGTGCTGAAGTTTCTGTAGCAGCTTTGTTTACAGGATTGGGTTGCTAGCCTCACGCCTGAGAAGGGGGTTGGTACATTGAAACATAGTTTAGGGAGAGGCGACCTTGTGGGTTGCTCGCCTTAAAGCCAGGAAAACAAGGAATAAAACAATGCGAACAACACCAGCACAGGAAAATTATTCACAACAAGAAGGGTAACAAGCGACAACAACAATAATAAAAAAACCTTATAAGCAATATCACAGTCACGTACAGTTGACCAAAATGATACCAAAACCAAAGACTCAGTGACTTGAGCCAACTTGAACATGTAAATCCATCAGTATATACAGTTATAGATATTAGTTAGTGTTAGACAAGCACAAAGTGGCAAACAGGTAATTATAGGTATTATCGGTCAACAAGATTATATCCACAGATTCAGTGTTTGAAAGGCAAATAACTTTTTGGCAAGAAACTCCACAGAAACAAGAGTTTTATGTAACTACGTGAATGTAACGTAGTAATCGAAAAGCCCATATCTGTTCAATCGTATATTTATACAAATGAATTGCAATGGACAATAACAATCAGTTTCCTTCTCTGTGTGTGTGTGTGTGCGTCAAAGTTTGACAGTGAGTGGAAGTACTAAAGACGCGATAATA